TGCTGATATACCCCTTCTGACCTATGGGCTCTCAGCCCTAGTCCTTGCCCCTCTTGGGGTATGGGATCTTTAACCCCCTCTTGCTCTGGCTGTGACCCCTTGCCTTTTCCCTCTCTCTCTGGGCCCTGGCTCTGCTCCTAGGCCAGGTGAGATTCCTGGGCTCCCCCTGGCCTGCCAGTCTCTGGCTGTAGCCCTCCTTGGCCTCTGGGCCCTGGCCCCACTCCTGAGCCAGTGTGACCTTCGGGCTCCCTGGCACTGTTGACACTCACCTCTCCTGGGCTACAGACTTCCAGGCTTCCTGGACCCTCTTCCTTCTGGACCACCTGGGACCTCTGTATCTTCCCTTAGTCCCTTCCACAAACCAGCAGGGTTGCTCACCCCCATCTCGGCTGTTAATCCTGCCGCCCTGCTGCAGCCCCACTGCTCAGGAGCTCCTTTCCCTGTGGCTCAGAGCTGGAGTGCCAAACCAGCTCAAACCCTGGGCTTACATGCCCCAAGCCTGGCCCTCTTCTGGTCAAGTGATTCTAATTGGCCCCTGCCACATCTGCAGACTGCTCCTCAAACAACCTCTTCCATCTTAGTGACACACACACTAAGGGCCTGGTCACATACTTCCCCTTTTTTGTTCACACCTTAACCTGGGGTTTTCCATCCTCACCTCCCTGCATCCAACTTTCTGTCTGCAAGTGATCCCTATTTGGTTCTCTAAGGCTGACTGTTATGGATGTCATCTTTTCCTGCACCCCACAAGTCCTCTATTTGGTCCCTGTACTTTCTCTTGCAGTCACAACCATCTGCTGGTTTAACCCCAGCTTAGGTGCTTGCCAGAAGCTTGGCTGCTGCCCAGCTGTTCAGGAGTTCTTCACATCTTGGCTGCTAGGATCAGACTATTGCCTCAGCTCAGGTCCTGAGCTTATATCCTGTAAGCCCAGCCCTCTTTTGTGTCACATGACTCCTCACTGCCTCCCGCAGCACCTGCAGACTGCTCCATCTGCTGTCTGCCTTCTCTTAAAGTAGCCGGAGCACCAAGCCTCCTTCTACAAGAGGTAACATGCAAGTACAGGAAACATATGCACAGAGTTTAATGACTTCTTTATACTGAGCTCCAAGTTGGTGGGTGGTGTTTTAGCCATTTAAGGAAATCTTTTCATAACATGTAAGTTTGTCTATCAGACTGCTGACAGAGTTTCAGGTTAAGGTGTTCTGGGTTAAATCCCAATGCACGTGCATGGCAGGAGGTGCAATTTTGGGATCAAGAATTAGATCTCAATCATGTGTTACTTGCTGTGCAGAGGGAGCTCACCACTGTACCAGTAAGTTGAAACCAGGGAGTTGGTTATCAAGTGGGGCCAGGGACGAACTGTAACCAGCTCCCGTCTGGTCCCTGGCCCCAGCCAACAATCAGCTGTTTGTGCCTGCCAGCTGGGGTTTTGACACCTAGTTTTTACTCACCCCCAGGCCTGGGGATCAGTGAAACCAAGTGTGCTGCCCAGCTGGATAACATATGGTTTTCCAGGTCCTAGTGCATGGGGAACCCAGAATCCAGCTGCGGCAGCCCAATCCAGAGGTTCCCATGGCCAGAGATAAGTAAAAATCATGTGTTTTGTCTGGCTGGGCAACGCTTGGTTTTACAAATCCTGGAGCATGGGAATTCTGAGATCAACCTTCCCCCTCATTGTGGGATGTGCTGTCACACTGGACCTTTTAAAAACATGTTCCCCCTGAGTACACCTCACCCCTTGCCTCCCTCCCTCCCCACCTGCTGCTAATTAGCAGAGGACCCCACCACTTCTAATCAACAGGGAAGCTGAAACCTTGGTTTTAAACATGGCATCATTTTTACCTCCTCATGGATCAGGAGTGAGCTGCAAGTGGGGCCCCTCCACCAATCAACAGCAGGGAGGGGAGCACGGGGAATCTGTAAGATTAAATGAGCCACAGAGCACCCCATTTCTGTCATGAATTTGTTAGGTCCCTAGTCGTGGGCCAGCCCCAACCAGCCACATGTTCAATTTAAGGTGTGATGCAAAAGAGCCACAAAGTTGTTACATATAATAAATGGAATTAGTTAGTGGCTTGCTTACTGTATTGTCACATCTCAAAATGACTAGAACATTTGGCTGGTTACTATTTAAGGCACAACTAACCTGTTAATTGCATCTTAAAAGTAATGTGCGTCAAGGGCCTCAGATTTTGAATGCAGGTTTCCCTTGCCAACTGCAGGGGTTAGGTTCCTGAAAGTTCCCGTGGTTGGCAAAACTGTGGTTGGTAAGACAAAAGGCTTATGGGGAAAAGCGAGGTAAGGGACTTGAATACGAGTTCCAGCCCGCAGGGAGCTTGGAGGGAGCAGAAGGAAGGCGGTGAGACGAGGCGCCACATGCATGTACAGTACACGCGTATAGCCCCAGGCAGCCTGCAGAGCAGCTCCAGCAGGTAAGTTGGTGGGGAGAAGGGGACTGAGGCCCCTGTAGGCGGGGAGCTGGGCAGGGCTGGGGATGCTGCCCAGGTGGGCAGTGCTTGGAGCCACAATGAGTGGCTGAAGGGCCTCAGCAGGGAGCAGGATGGGGCCGTGGGTGGTTCATCTGGGGAAGGGGGAGGGCTGCAACCGGGTGCATCAGGGAGCAGAGGAGCTGCACGGGGATCTCGCCCGCCACTGCTCACCCCACGCTGCCTTGGTGACTCACCTCCTGCATGTGGGGCTGTGCCCCTCAAAGCAGTGGTAGGTGTACGAGGTGCGTCGCTGGGGCAGCAGGGGACAAGCAGCGGCCCCATGTGGCCCCACTGTCCCCAGCTGCACCAGGTGGTGCCCACCGGGTGGTGGAGGTCCTGGCACCTGGGATCCCCCTCCGGCAGGGCTGAGGGAGCAAAACTGGATACTCAACTGTGGATGGCAAAACCGTGGCTGGTGAGGGAAACCCGTACTTAGTAAGTTAGCAGGTGTCTTGGGTAGGGTAGGGTACCTGAAGTGGTTCTGGGAAAATGTGGAAAGTTGCTATTCATGAGCATTTCTCTTATTTAAAAGGAAGTAAGTGGTGTTATATTCAATATTCTGTGAGAGAACTTTTGAGTCTGAAATGCGTTCTTAGGTAGCCTGGCGTAGTATTCTGAGAGGCACATTGAAAAAGTTTTCTCTCTTTTTTGAGAGAGAGTAAATTTATGACCCTTACACTCATCTTCTGTTGTTCTCAAAGTTAGTATGGCAAACAGATATTACTGTTGTATATGGGCAGGCTACCATGGCTCTGCATGCTTTAATTATCCTAAACTACCTGGGGAAAAAAAGTTTGCCTGAGAAATTAAATGACATAATAAGAAAAAAGTTCAATATTTCTGAAAAGCAGTGATAACAAAATAAATGCTTATGGTGTAGTACAGGGATTGGTAACATATGGCCTGCAGGCCACATTCAGCCCATACAGTTTCACCTGTGCCTATGCCCATGCCAGGGCTGGGCAACTTCCGGCTCTGCCTGTGCTGCTGCACTTATCTCAGCCCTCCTGACTCCAGTCTGATGTGGACTTGGTGCTTTCAGTACACATCAGTGGCAGCAGGCTTTGCCTGTGCAGGGAGCTTGCAACTGGGAGCTGCGCCTGTACTATTGCTACTTCCCCCAGCCTCTCACTCTGCAGCCAGTGGGGAGATGCCTCAGGGCTGGCCATCTGCAGTGCTGCAAGCAAATTTAACGTGAACCTTCTACTCTCCTTTCAAGAAAAAGTGATAAGAAATTGGCTGGGTCTTGGTCTAACATCTAAGCTACATAAAGATTCTGATTTGTTTAAAATGGCAGCTTCTCTATCAGTCAGTAGCCATACAAACATGTAAAATATTAATATAGACTAATGAAAAAGTAACCTTACTTTGGGCAGCAGAGTAATTCACTAAAATTGCAGTAACAGATCATTTCACACCCCTCCCCTTCCCAAAAGTGATCCTGAAGACTTCCATCTATTTGTCGAAGGTTGGCCACACCATCCGGGATGTTGTGACAGTTGCGATCTTTTAGCAGTTTCTTGTAACAAGAGAGACGGCTGGAAGGCATCAGGTTGGCACCAAGCAACATGCTCAGCAAGACGAAAGCTGATAGAATCTTCATTTTCATCTTTGCAAAGCTTCCTTCTGACACTAGCGCTAAAGAGAAAAGAGATTATACTAGATGTATCCTGATGACAAACAGCTTAGTTTCCCCAATTCAGTTCTTCAACTTGCCCTTTTAAGTTATTTTGCAGGGTGGGTCCATGCGCTGCTGAAAAATTATCTGCCGGGAGGCAGCAAATATTGGTGCTCCACAGGCCATCTATTGTGGAGTTGGCATTCATTGCATTTGTGCACGCTAGACTTTGTTTTCCTCCTCTGTTAATTGAGGCCTTTACTGGTAGTTCTGTTTTCTTTGGCCTTTCTTCTTCAGACTATTATTTTGTTTCTAGTCAAAATTCTCCCATTTGTATAACAACAAATGTCTTCTCGCCTGTTCTGAAGTATTAGCCAAACCTAACTTTTAGCAAGCTGATGTAAAATGTTCCGATGCATTTCCCTAGTTTACTGTTCATTTTGGCTTTGTGGAAACTTAGAATTACTCAACTGAAGACTTACCCTCCCCAAAGTATTGTGGAAACTACATGGTCACAGCACCTGCTAAATGCATTCAGAAAGGGGAAGCATTTAGCTTATTCTGACTGAAGATGTCTGGACAGGATCAACTTCCAAAGAAACTGGAGGGCCAAACAAAGAAGTTAAGCTCCCTGTAGACCTAAAAAACTGCTCTGTCTGGCAATGTAATGTTGTACATGTTTCTTCTGCTGGTTGGTGTTGCACAGAGCTTCCCAAGCCAGCTTTAAACAAGCAGAAACGGTATAGCTTAGGGTATCAAACATACAGCCCAGCACTAGACTCAGCCTGCAGATCCCTATCATCTAGTCCCTGGTGCTTTCCCCCACAGACATGTGCTGCAAGCAGGACCTGGCCTGGCTAGTCTGGGACACGCAGTGCAATTCAACCAGCTTATAGGCACCATTCACCCAGACCATGGACCAGGCCCCTACCTCTAGTATAGCTGAAGCAGCATGGAATTCAGTGTGGGCTCAAAAGCAGGATAAATTAGCTTCGTCTGAGCTCTAGATGGCTTCTAGTAACTGAACCAGTATTGCAGGCAGTTGCCTACAGGTTACACTGGATTTTAACCCTGTGCTTCTGTTGAACACATGCTGTAGAGCAATTTTGTAGGACCTTTGGCATTTAAAAGTAACCCAAGATCTACCATGCGCTTCCACCCCCTCCCCCTGTCTGTCTGTGAGGAGGGAAGAGGGGGGGTCAGATTGAGGCAGAGGGAGAAAAAAATATTTGGGGTTGTGCCCCCTAGCAGTAAGTCTGTGGGAGAAGGGGCAGGGGGAGGAGAAAAGGCCGTGGGGGGTGGGGGGGGAGATCAAGGCCCATCCCTAGCCCCACTTCCTCCCTCAGCGTTGAGGCCTCGATCTGCCCCCTCCCACCCCCAATGGCGGTGAGGGAGGGAGCGGGGCTGGAGCAGGGGCAGGCCTTGCACAACTGGGGTTCAGGACAGCTCATCCGGGACACTGCCTCCCAGCCCACTCTCCCCCCTTTGAGCAGACCCCCTTGGGGGGGAAGGCAGTGCCCCGCTGTTCACAGCAGGGGGCTGGGCCATGCCGCACTTGGGCCAAGCAGTGGCAGCACTGGGAGGGGGGCCTTTGGAGGTGTGCTCAGCCCCCCACAACCTCAGATCAACTCCAAGAGGCTCCAAGATTGACCAGCTGGTGACCACTGCTGTAGAGAGAGCTGCACAAGACCATCTAACTTGCATTCAGTTGCACATTAGGCTAGGATTTTGAGCTGTGATTCACCTTAGTTTTTTTGAGTTATAGGAATTGTGGGGAAAAGAGGCTTTTACTTCTAGGAACATATAGAGATTCTTATATTTCTCTAAGTTGAAAGTAGAGGTACATCCATAACATTGGTCTATATCTTATCACTGCTGCGCACACCCCTGGGGGAGGCACGTGGAGGGGGCGGGGCACCTGCCTTCCATATCTGTGCATGGGGTGAGGGCGGGCTGAACCTGGGGCAGCACTGGGCTCTTCCTGGTGGGGGAGAGGGGCTGGGCCAGGGCTGCGCTTGGGGCAGGTGGGGGTAGCACTGAGAGGGGGGGGTGACGCGGAGGGAGGGGGGGGTTACCCAGGAGCCTCCAGCCACTCCAGAATCACCATAGTTCCCCTGTAACTCCCCTCCCAGTGCTGCTGCTTCTCCCCGAGTGGAGCCCTGGCTCAGTCCCCCCCCACCCCCACTGGGAAAAGCTTGGTGCCACCCCCAGTCCCAGCTCACAGCAGCAGCCCGCCCTTGACTTGCACACAGTTTCAGGGGGCATGTGCCTACCATGCCTCCCCCATGGGTGTGCACAGTGGCGGGAGCCCCCCTGTCCTCCCATGAGTCACTCGCAGCTCTCTCCAGCACTCTGCTCCAGCTGGACAGCATCTACCACAGCCCCAGCCCCACCCCTTCCCTCACTGTGTGGGCCTCTGTCTGCCCCCACCATGTTCCCTTGCCCAGCCCCTTCTCCCCAACAGACTTACCCGCCAGACACTGATCTCCAAGCTGCAGGGCTGCATATCGGCAAGTGGATTGGTATCAGCCAATATGTCTCATTAATATTCAGCCATTGGTATAGGTCCAAAAAATTTCTATTGGTGCACCCCAGTTTTAAAGTGAAACTCTACTCTGAAAACTGCTCCACTGATAATGAAGCAGCTCCTCGCTGACTAGATCTGTTCCCTCTGTTTATTTCTAATAATATCTGCTTACTGTCAAATAAGGTTCAGCTGAATTTTTATCCTGTTAGTACTGTAGCAATGACATAGCTAAGGGATTATGAGCTAGAATCTATTCCTTCTTGTGCATCTGCAAAATAGAGTAGCCCAACTTGATGATACCAGGACAGCCAGGAATAAATCTTGACCTCTAAAATCTTTATTGGAGCAGGTGATGTATGTTCAAAGAGAGCTTGTTCTTAATCTCATATCACAGCTTTTGGTGGCAGGGCTGATAGCTGGGCAGGAGGGAAAGTCTTTTTGCAATTGTATGTTTGTTATTTCAGTAATTTCCATATCAAACATTTCCCAGCATGCCACTTTGTCACTCTTCAAAGAAGAGTCAAGCTTGAAAAGAGGGAACGTTTTTGGATTTCATTACACTTCTGGCAATTAATTCTGAATTGGTTACATCATCAGCATTTTCTACCTGCTGGTTTTCTAGTCCGCCAGCCTTTTTGGCAAAGGAACTGTCCAGAACTTTAGAGGTATAGCTGTCTAAGAGCATCATTTCTGGAGAGTGGAGCCATTATCAGGAAGAAAAAAATGCTAGCATTCTCAGGTCAAGGTTGTCAGATCTGTGTGCACTTCAAGCTTGTTTTCTTCTGCTTACATTAAAACAGGCTTTGCAGAAAGCAGCTTATTTATGAGGACATATAACAACTGAAAGGAAGTTCTTGTTTCCTGAATTTTGCTTCTATAGCAAAAATATGATGACTTCTGACCTCAGTGAAATTGTGTATGCGTTTATTTGAATATAAGTAGCTTACTTAATTTATTTTTCATTTAAAATGCCCCTATTAGAGTTTTTAAACCTAAATTATTTAGTGTGCTAGTTCCTAATTCTAGACCAGTGCAAATCTACTACTCACATAAGGTAACCTTTTAAATCTGAATCCCCTTAAAATTGAACTCAAGAAGGATATGGTGCCATACAATCATTATGTTTTATTATATACAATTTATTATTTAGCATGCAATGGATAAGGGTCCTGCAGAAAGGAAGTTATAGTTTGCTAGAAGAACAGATTGGACCCATTCTACCCAGGTTAATAAAATAGTTCCAAACCAGTACAGGGCCCCTGTACTACACTTCATGGAGCTTTAAGTGATAATACTGAAGACTGTGGTTTTCAAAGGCAAGGACTAGCAGCAGAAAACAAGCTGCTGCTGGTCCTGGAATGCTGGTTCCTAGGATTCAAAATATTAGTATCACAAGCGCGTCATTGTCTAAACTGCTGGTCAGGAGGATTTCAAAACTGCGGTCTTTCAAAGATAAGTACATCTTGAGTTGTGCCCAGAAATAAGCTGGTAGGCTATTCAAAGTTAAAAAAAAAAAGAAAAAAAGAAAAATGATGTTTTCAGTGCAGAAGGACCTGCCCAGATTATCCATATTTTTCATCAGAAAACATCTGTTCTGTCATTAGGTTTAGATTAGACATCTGTAAGAACTACTTCACAGTTAGGGCGGCTAGGATCTGGAACCAGCTTCCAAGGGAAGTGGTGCTGGCTGCTACCCTGGGGTCTTTAAGAGGTGGCTTGATGCCTACCTGGCTGGGGTCATTTGAGCCCAGTTTTCTTCCTGCCCAGGCAGGGGGTCGGACCTGAAGATCTACAAGGTCCCTTCCAACCCTACTTCTATGATTCTATGATTATTCCTTACAACAGGAGTTGGCCACTTGTGGTACATGTGCTGTAGATTGACAAGGCAGTGTGCATTAGGGTTGTGCAAAGCTTTGGTCACTGATTCGATTTGGGGGAGATTCAGCCCGATTTGGTGGCTGAATCTGCAAATCCAAATTGAATCAGGAGACCCTTTATTCTCTCTGAACTGATTCAGAGAGATTTGGAAAGATGTGGACATAGACACAGCTTTAAATGTTTTTTCTACATACTTCAAGGTAGTAGGCAGCTCGTGAATGCTGCAATGGTGGGGCAGATGCAGCGTCCCACAGAAGAGTGGTGGGGTCCCCAGCATGCTTGGCAGACCTGGAAGTGGACCAGAAGGCCCCCTGCCCTGGCTCAGTGACTAGCGGCTCCTGGATCTGGCAGGGCACCTGAGGTCCCCCCTCGGCTGATTGCCGAGCTGGGGAGGGCATGGAGGGGCCCACCCGCACTCTCCCCGGCGGACCCAGAAGTGGACCGGAAGTACTTCCCATCCACTTCCAGGTTTGCTGCTGAGCATGCGGGGGGGGGGCTGTGCTTCTGTGGGATGCTCCATCCGCCCCATCATCACAGCATTCACAAGCCATGCCTGGTACTTCAAGGTATGTAAAAAAAACATTTGAAGCTCTGTCTATGTCCGAATCACTGATT